GAACGCACCATGGACACAGGACCAGGGACCCCCGAGGTGCCCGGTACGCGCTCCCACCCACAGGGCCTGGGGCAGCGCCTGTCACCAGCCCAGAGATGCCGGAATCCTGCCGCGCACCGTGGGGTCTGCCTGTTTCCCAATCCGATGGCGGCATGGCGGCCCCTCACACTCCCTGGTGCCAGTGCCCTAAGCAATGGGTGCTTTGCCCTGAGAAGGAAGGGGTTGCTGAGAGGCGTCCAAGCCAGCATGGCCCCTGCCAGGGACATCCTGCGGTCATAGCACGTTGGACGCCTGGGCAGCATCTCCAAGGGCTCAGAAGAGGGAGCGGCCGCCACCCAAGTCCCCAGGCCTCCAAATCACCAGGGAGGCCGTCGTCACCCATGAACAGGGAGTCCTCCAGGGCACAAGCACCGGCTCCTGACAAGCAGAGGCACGCCGGGCTCCGGGGACCCGGGTTGCCAGAAGGTTTGGGTTGAGTGTGATGTGGGAGCTGGTCACTTCTCGAGGAATGCTCGCCTCTGGGTCCCGGAGCGGTCCACTCGCTGCCATCAGGGAGCATCTGTCTCTACAGAGACAGCTTCTCCCTCGGGCTGTGCCTGCACAGCCATCTGGGTACGAGGGAGATGGGGGGGCTGCACCCCTTCAAGGATGAGGAGGCTGAGGCCCAGGCACCTGACCCACCGCGGGCACCTGTCTGAGAGAGCTCTGGGGCTCAGTGGGTGCAGCCGGAGGCCCCTCTTGCTGGTGGCTACTCCAGGGCAGGTGGAGCTGTCAGGTCACCCCCGGACTGGTCCAGCCCAGCACAGCCCAGGAGGCCTTCAGGACACCCGCAGCCAGGACAGAGGTTCCTGGGGAGGGCTGGGCCTGAGCAGGGCTGGGGGCCAACTCTGGGGTCTCAGGCCCCAGGGAGGGATGATGAGCTGAGAGGGTGGTGGCTCTGCCTCTGCCCCTGACCTGGCACTCCTGCACAGCCCGGCCACCAGCCCCCTCCAGCCGTCCACGTGGAGAGCGGTCGTGTGGGCTGTCGGTGCCATCCCCACCTGGGCATGGGCAGTGAACAAGGGGTCGTGGTGGGGGGTAAAGGGGAGCGAGTGAAGGAGGGAGGGGTCCTGGGACGGGAGGGGCACCTGGTTGCTGACAGGCAGGGAGGGTTTGTTCCATGGGCATGGTCAGAATTCAGGCAGCGCCTGCAGGCAGAGCCCTGGATTAGAGGCAGGAGGAAGGGCGGGCACGGTAAGCACAGACAGGCGGCTCCGTCTCCCCCTCCCGCTCCGGTGTGTGGCCACGCGTCCTGCTCCTCCAGACCCCGGAGCAGCCTGACACTCCTCCCACAGGAGCACCATGCCTGATTTGTTCTGTCATTTTTAGTTTAAAAACCTTTTTAAAATATTTTGTTACGTTAACGCATGTTTGAGGTGAGCCAAAACTACAAGAACCCAGAGCAGTGACCCCGGATGGGCTCTGGGTCTCCGGAGGGGGCTCTGCTGTCTGTGGCGTGCCGGGGCCCGACCCCTCTGCAGCCCCCAAGGGGCGTTCCGAGCCCCTCGCCCGCACCCGAACCCTCCTGTCCAGACAGCGAAGTCTGGGAGCTCTGAGGCAGGTCCCGTGTGAGACCCCTGGGCACGCGTTTCCGGCCGCCGGCGTCTGAGGCCGACGCTGCCCCACCCGTCGGTGCAGAAGGGCCCGGGCCGAGCTGAGGCGGGGTCTGCTTTTCCCTGCAGACCCTCCGGGGCTGGCCCTCGGGCCTCCCAAGCGCCGTGGCCGCGCTCCGGTGTGGTGGCCGGCCGTGGGCTCCCGCGTCGGCTCCTTCCGCCAGCTGTCGATGGCTCTCGCCCTCCTCTTCCTGGGAAGCTGGCAGTCGCCAAGCACCTCAGCGGGGGCTGTGGCCGCGCCTCGAGCTCACACCCACTGCAGGTGGCCTCGCCTGAGTGGGGACAGTCGATGTGGGGGTCAAAGTCCCGGCTGGAAGCGTTTTCCTCAGACCCCTGCTCCTCTCTGCCCTCTCCCCCACGGCCCCACCGTGCTCCCGTGGGCGCCGTCTCACGCGGCTTGTTGTAATGGGAGGGGTCGAGCCCAGCAGGGACTCAGGCCCACGCAGGCACAGGGGCCGCGTGCCGGGCCGTTCTCACGCACCGAGACTCCACCTGCCCCGGTCTGTGCTCCTGTGCGTCCTCTTCCGCCGGCCTCCCTCTGACCTGCCTCAGTTTCTCCTCTTTGCTGCCCGATGTTTCATTGCTGATTTGCCTTTCACTTGTCCCGACTGAAGGCCTCATGAGGACAGGACCTTTGTGTCCCGCTCAGCCCTCCAAGGCCAGTCTCCAAGTTTATTTACTTATTTTTATTACACTTTAAGTTCTGGGGCACACGTGCAGATCATGCTGGGTTGTTACATGGGTATGCTCACGCTGTGGTGGTTTGCTGCCTCCACCCCCGGTCACCTACATTAGGCATTTATCCTAATGTTATCCCCCCATCCCCCCACGCCCAGCTCTCCATTCCATAGGCCCTCAACCCCCCAGCAGGCCCCAGTGTATGATGCTCCCCTCCCTCTGTCCATGTGTTCTCATTGTTCAGCACCCACTTTCGAGTGAGAACATGAGGTGTTTAGTTTTCTGTTCCTGTGTTAGTTTGCTGAGAATGATGCTTTCCAGCTTCATCCACGTCCCTGCAAAGGACATGAACTCATCCTTTTTTATGGCTGCATAGTATTCCATGGTGTATCTGTGCCGCATTTTCTTTGTCCACTCTGTTATCGATGGGCATTTGGGTTGGTTCCAGGTCTTTGCTATTGTGAACAGTGCTGCAGCGAACAACCGTGTGCATGCATCGTGCAAACCGTGGGCTGATGGGCCGGGACGTCCTTCGTGAGCCCAGAAGGCAGCTCCGAGGGGCTGCCCTCATCCCTCTGCTCCCAGCCAGGCCCCACAGGGCAGGCTCTCGGATGACTCGCTGAGGTGTGTGAATACGGGTCCTTGTTCAGGCGCGTCCCCTCCCAGATGAGAACATGAGAACACAGAATGCAGCCCTGAGTTTGAAGCATCCCAGAAGGTTCGTTCTCTCTCGCCTGCACGCCCCCCGCAGTTCTGGGTGCTCACAAACCTGTCATTGCTTCCAGTAATTTCCCACTTGGTCCTCCTGCCCAGAGTCCCCTGCTGCTGAGGCCCGGGGGAAACAGGTCAGGCCTGTGAGAAGCTCCTGTTTCAGACAAAGAAACGGTGTCAGCGAGGAAACTGGAAACTGTTCCCGGCTTGACACCCGACGCGGCCCTTCCACCCCCGGGATCCTGCCCCACCCGGCCCTGCCCCACCCCCGGGATCCTACCCCACACGGCCCTTCCACCCCCGGGATCCTGCCCCACACGGCCCTGCCCCACCCCCGGGATCCTGCCCCACATGGCCCTGCCCCTGACTCGGTCCTACCCTTGTGCCCCCCTCGGGGTTGGCATCTGCATTTTCAGTGCCTTTCTGGGAAAGGGGTGAACGGGTGGGACCTGAGGCCCTGAAGGTCCTCAATGTAGGGAGTGCCCCGGCATTTTTTCCAGCTGTTTTGGGGGAATTTGTGGGATCTCAAGGTCATCAGGGGCCACCCACAGGACCCCCACAATGACGGAGCACACTTTGGCCATGACTGGTGCTGAGAACTCTAGCTCTGAGAGGGCACCGTGGGGCCCAGGATTGGGACATGCACCTGTGTCCTCGGCACGGACCCTCCCACCTGCTCTTGTGCCTGTGTGTGGAGGCCCATGTGCAGCTCCTGGCGTGGTGCTGACGAGTGACCTGGTGTCCAGGCCCCTCGGGGAAGCGGCTGTGGTGCCCTGAGTCTGATACCGCACACTGGGTCCTTCGGGGCCTGACTGGGTCTCACCGGAGGCCACGTGTGGTGGAGAGGCGGCCTCCGCAGCCCACGACTGCACCACTGCGATGCCCTGCATCCCTGAGCCCTGCCTGGGCAGCACCCCTGTCTTTTCAACCCCATGGCCCAGCAGCCTGCTTGGCGCCGGGTGCCTTGCAAAGTCCAGGGGGTGTCCCTGCAACACCCTCCTGCCACCTCAGCCCTGAACATTCACAGTCCCCTCCCCTGGCTGGGGCCACCTCATGCTCAGCAGGCCCTGAGCTCCTGGGCAGAGCCTCCTCGGGCACCCCCAGAGCCACCATACACCCTCCCCAACCCAAAGCTCCGTCTCCAGTTAGAGGCTCTGCACTATGGTGATAGCAGCTGTCACACGACTGCTGTGGACCCCCTGGAAGAGGGTGACGCATCATGCACCCCAGAGGAGGGCATCCCCTTATGGATGCCAGGGAGGGTGTGACCCGAGGTGTCAACCAGAGCTGCAGAGCGGGCGTCCACAGGAGGAGCAGTGGAACTGTGGCATGGGGACCCAGAAAGGCAGTGTAACTGTGGCATGGGGGACACGGAAAAGTAGTGGAACTGTGGCATGGGGGACACGGAAAGGTAGTGGAACTGTGGCATGGGGGACACGGAAAGGTAGTGGAACTGTGGCATGGGGACCCGGAAAGGCAGTGGAACTATGGCATGGGGACCCGGAAAGGCAGTGGAACTGTGGCATGGGGACCCGGAAAGGCAGTGGAACTGTGGCAGGGGGACCAGAAAAGCAGTGGAACTGTGGCATGGGGAGACCTGGGATAGGCTTTGATGCTGCCAGGTCACACCGTGAGCCTCCTTGGCCTAGAGCCCCTGGGCACCCAGCTCGGCTCCCACCCTGGGCTCTGCTGTGCTGCTGGCTTTATCCGGCTTAGGGGGTCCTTGACCCACTGACGGCGGCGGGCAGAACCTCACTTGGCTCAGCTCTGTCCGGCAGCTGGACAGAAGTGCCCCAGTTCCGAGTGTCTGAGGGGCCTCGCGCCCAACCCCAGGAGGGCCTGCCTGGCTCAGCCCTTGCCACGTCCTGGTGGTCTTTGGCACAGCGGGTCTCCTGTGTGCCGCCTGGGTCAGTCAGGACGTGGCCTGGGTGACACCTCTCTCTTCTCCTTCCTCCACAGCAACATGGCTGACAAGGCCAAGCCCGCCAAAGCTGCCAACAGGACGCCCCCCAAGTCCCCGGGGGACCCCTCAAAGGACAGGGCAGCCAAGAGGCTGTCGCTGGAATCGGAGGGTGCCGGTGAGGGGGCGGCTGCGGCCCCCGAGCTCAGCGCCCTGGAGGAGGCCTTCCGGCGCTTCGCCGTGCACGGGGACACCAGGGCCACCGGGAGGGAGATGCACGGGAAGAACTGGTCGAAGCTGTGCAAGGACTGCCAGGTGATCGACGGCAGGAACGTGACGGTCACCGACGTGGACATCGTCTTCAGCAAGATCAAGTGAGTGTGCCGGCCTCGAGCCCAAAGCCTCGCCTGTGGGGTCTGCGACTCTGAGTCCCTGGGTGGGCTCTGCGGGGAGTGCGCCATGGGGAGGTGGAGCGGGTCGTGCTTCAAGACCCCACCCTTCTCAGAAGCAGCCCAGACACAGGAGTCTGAACGTGCCCTCTGGGCATCCGGGGAGCAGGGGTCCTGGCATTGCCGGACCCCTGGGTGCCATGTCCCGAGCGGCCCCATGGTCTCTGGGGGCTGGGCATGGGAGGTGGCCTGAGGGCTGTCTGGCCTCGGAGACACCTTGGAGTGAACACTGCACCCTGAAGTCCGGAAGCTGTGGCTGGGATCACTGGGCCGCCCCAGGAATGGGGATGGGGCCTGCCTGGAGCCCGGAGAGGCAGGTGGCTGCTGGCGGGCAGAGCTCCCGACCCTCCGCGGGCTGGCTCAGGGGCTGAGTCTGTGGGGTGGGGCGCTTGCGTCCCGGGCATGGAGCTGGCCTCTCGGCTGTCCCCAGCCCCTCCCACAGCTTTTGTGTCACTTCACTGCTGCCTGGGGACTCCCACGGGCCCCAAAACAGCAAAGGGCACCAAGGGAGCAGCAGCAGCCACCGCTGTGAAACCACATTGCGCCGCGCGCTGTGCGTCTTGTGTGCGTGTGTGTTTTTGTGTGTGCACACATATGTTGCTGTGTCAACTGTGTGCCTGTTTTCTCCCGGACGCTGGGAAGCACGCAGAGGCACGCTGACACGCCCCGCTGCACTGACCACATGTCCTGACACCCCATGTGACTGCGCCTGATGAAAGCAGCGGTTCCCCCGAGCCCCGGCTCCAGCCCCGTCCCGCCTCCTGGGTGGAAATGGCTCTATCTCATTTCGACTGTTTGCTCCTGCGTCACCTGCCGCCAGTGTGATCCATTTCGGTCCCATGTCGCGGCAACCCCATCACCTCTTTCACCTCAGAGGTCCTGCCGCCTGCCCACCAGCAACCTTGGCTTTTCGAGGGGCCAGGCTGTGGGGCAGACACCCCGTGCTGAAGGCCGTGGGGGCTCACGTCTGCAGCCCCAGCACCCCATCTGCCTGCTCTGGGTGGGCCCTGCGGCCTTTGCAGCGGTGCCGTCTCTGCCGCGCTCCATGGCGATGTCGCGCGTGTCCCCTGGGTCTCGGTTGTCTCCTGGGTCGTGTGTGTTCCTGGACTCTGTGTGCCCTGCTGAGCTTCCTGTTGTGTGTGGCACCTTTGAGTGCATCCGAGGGCGTTTGGGTTTGGAAAGTTATGATTGCCTGGCGCGGTGGCACGTGCCTGTCACCTGTCATCCCAGCTACTCGGGAGGCTGAGGGAGGAGGAGTTCTGGGCTGTAGTGTGCTGTGCCGGTCCGGCGTCCGCGAGAAGTTCAGCATCAATATGGTGACCTCCTGGGAGTGGGGAACCGCCAGGCTGCCTAAGGAAAGTTATGCTGGAAAAGTTGTGAAAACACCCGAAGGATGCCTGAGCCTGGACTCTCTCTCCAGCCAACTGACTGCCTCTCAGGCTGCCCCAGCTCTAGGGGATGGCGTGGGGTGGCCAGGGATGGCGTGGGGCGGCCAGGGATGGCGTGGGGCGGCCAGGATGGCGTGGGGCAGCCAGGTATGGCGTGGGGCGGCCAGGGATGGCGTGGGGCGTGGGGCGGCCGGGATGGGGCATGGGGCGGCCGGGATGGGGCATGGGGCAGCCGGGATGGCGTGGGGTGGTCAGGATGGCGTGGGGTGGTCGGGATGGCGTGGGGCGGCCGGGATGGGGCATGGGGCAGCCGGGATGGCGTGGGGCGGCCGGGATGGCATGGGGTGGCCGGGATGGCGTGGGGCGTGGGGCAGCCGAGATGGCGTGGGGCATGGGGCGGCCAGACCAGCAAGGTCTGTTCGTCATCCTGACAGCTCGCAGCCTCAGTCCTGGAGAGAAGCTGGAGGAGAGGCTCCATCAGGGGCCCCAGGTGTGAGCTGGTCTCACTCTTGACCCTGTCCTGACCCAGTGCCCCCAGTTCCCTCCTTTGTGACTTCCCAGCCTCCGTGTCCTCAGGCGTTGTCTGGTGTGAGACTAGGCTGTGGCTGGAGCCTCTGGCAAGGTAGCCATGCAGCCTCGCGCTCCCTGGCCTCTGGCAGGGCTGCTGTTTGCTGATGCCACAGCGGTCAGAGCCCACGCCCACCCAAGACCACTCATCCCTGGGAACCCTGGAGACCAGGAGAGCACACAGTGCCTGCCCAAGTTAGGGGACCAGCAAGGCCCTGACAAAGGCTGGCTCTCAGCCTGTGAGGGTCCATTCAACAGCCCACACCCCCAGTGCTACACCCCCGGCCACAGACTCTCCATGGACTGTCTCGGGGCTCGGGGCCCACTGTCCCTGCACCTCCCTCGGGACTGTGGTGGAGGCGACTCTGCTGTCCAGACCTCGCTTGTGGGCTCTTTGGTGAAGGGTGGCTCCCACAGGCTCCCTGGGGCTTGGCACATCACATGCAGGGCTCGCCATGCCAGCCGGCACCTGGGGAACAGACCAACCTGCTGTCCCCTGCTGGAAACCTGCAGCCTCCTGCAGCAGCAGGCCACGCGATGTGGGCTTGTGTGGACGGCCCCAGCCAGCAGCTGGCAGGTCCTGCTGACCAGGGCCACTCTGGTGGGTCAGCAGCCACGGGCAGGTGGCACTGACCTGCATTGAGCCTGGGAGGTTGGGGGCCAGAGCCTCTGGCACTGGCATTGCCCTTGTCTTGAGCCCAGAACTCACTCTGCCAAGGGGACGTGTCCTGGGCACACGGACCGGGAGAGGGAAACTGGGTCAGCTATATTTAGTGCGTGCAGTGGCAGGCCGAGCTCACGGTGCGGCCGCCGTGTCTGGAGCCTGCGTGGGCATGGGCAGGGCAGGCTCCTCCCCTCGGCCACCAGGGCCCTTGCTCTCGCAGTGCTCCTCCCCCACCCTCAGGTGTCCTTGCTTGGAGGGGCCAGCTCCTTCGCAAATCCCAGCCCATGCTCCCTGGCCCTGACAGCTGCCTCTCAACAGGCCTGGTGTGTGGGTGCATCTGGGATCAGTCCCGGCTGCCCTCTGTGCCACCCAGTGTGTGCTCCAGGATACACAAGAGCAGACCCGGGGCGAAGCAGTGTGGAGGTGGTGTCCATGGGTGAAGTTTCTAGAAGGACTGGGCAGGAAGCAGGAAGAGCCTGTCCAGGAGCTGTCAGCCCTGCAGGGCCGCCTTGGCATTGGCCAGGACACGTTGTACGATTACTTCTGCGGAAAGTTGCCTTCAAGCTGTGGCACATGCGTACACACGGCCCCGCACGTGCACACACAAGCCTGCACACATGCAGAAATCACACGGCCGCATGTGCACACACACCTGCACACATGCACAACTCATCCAGCCCCACACGTGCACACACACGTCTACACACATGCAGAAATCACACGGCTCCACACATGCACACACACACCTGCACACATGCAGAACTCACAGCCCCACACGTGCACACACACACCTGCACACACAAATCATACAACTGCACATGTGCACACACATGCCTACACAGACACGCAGAACTCACAGCTGCACACACACACACACATGCCTACACATGCAGAAATCACGACCTCACACATGCACACGCCTGCACAGACACGCTGAAAACACACGTGCACACACATGCCTGCACACACACGCAGAAATCACACAACCTCACATGTGCACACACACACCTGCACACACGCAGAAATCACATAACCGCACACAGGCACACACATGCCTGCACAGACAGGCAGAACTAACACAACCGCACACGTGCACACACATGCCTGCACACACGCAGAAATCACACAGCTGCACACGTGCACACACACACCTACACACATGCAGAACTCACATGGCCACATGTGCACACACACGCCTGCACACACATGCGGAACTCGCCCTGTGGCGGGTGGGGCCGTGGGGCCGTGGTTCACTTGGAGGATGATGCGAGCCCTTCCCTGCTTGTGGGGGGTGCTGGCGCCACAGGAGGCCGCAGGAGCCCCCGCCGGTCCAGGCTCGCCGCCAGAGGCAAGGCTGGGGCTGCCCAGGCACTTGGGACCCGAGGCTCGGACCCCCACTCTAGCACGACCACTTCCCCACTGCAGAGCCTGGGACCAGCCTTGGGGTGTGCCAGTCTGGGCTGACCATGAGGGTCAAGGTTGGGGGCAGCAGAGAGCTGTGGCCCAAGTCTAGAGAGGGGCTGAGACTGAGGCCCAGTCCCGGGCAGCCCAGTGGGCGCCGTGGGTGGGCGCTGCGTGGGAGAGCGTCCTGCAGGCAGCAGCTCAGGTGACCCTGGCCTGAGGGGAGGCCAAGGGATTCTGACCTCTCCGCCTCCCCATTCACCTGCAGACGCAGCCCCTGTGACCCCCGGGGTTCCTCCAGGGCTGCCTCCGCCTCCTCCCCTCCCCACCCTCAAACTGTCCTTCCCTCTTGCAGCCTGCACTGCCCTCGGGGGTCCCTATGATCCTGTCAGGGGTTCCTGACCTCCCAGCTGTGCAGGAGCAAGGGACCCGAACTCACACCCTTGTCTCAGGAAGGGCGAGGGGGCGGGGCCCCCAGGAGGGGTCTAGGACAACAGAGATTTTCCTTTGATTTCCGGGAAAAGCAAGGAGAGGTGGGGCGGCAGGCCTGAGGGGTGTCGGGTTGCTTTTGTTTTGCATTTTGGGGAGGGGAGACCCACTGTCACTTGTGGGAGCCCCTGCCTCCCTCAGGAGCCTGGGGACTGCGAGGAAGTGGCCGTAGGTACCGCAGAAAGCTGCTGACTCTGACGGGGCTCGGCCGAGAGGGAGTCCAGCGATTTCTGTTTTCGGGGCAGGTTGCCATGGTTCCGCCGGCGTGGCGCCAGCCTGGGGTATCTGCGAGCCTTTGTTTGGTCCTCGTTGCCACGGCAGCGCTTGTTTGTTTTGATGTTACTATGTGTTAAACCTTAAACAAATTTCTTGCAGCCCGATGCCAGGTTTTTGTTGAAGACTACCGCTAACCCAGA